TATGTTTGTTCGTAAGTCATATATTAATATGCTAATTGCAGTTCTTTTGCACCCTGTCTAAAGACTCTATCACGATCCTATCGAAAATGGGCTCAGCACCACGCCCAAAATGGTTTTTGGCGAATTTCTCGAAAAGTAAGGATTTTAGGCCATGTGTTGCTGAATAACTCCTATATAAACATGCATATGCGGCTTCGTTTAAGGCTTAAGCCTATTTTGAAGTCTCTACGACCTTCAGAAGCAAGGGGTCGGTTACGTAATTGGGTCAATATGGGCGTGGCCCTCCTGGGTTTTCTCCACGGTCAAAAAAATGTCTCCAAACGAAAATCGTTTATTCATAGCTTCGGGAAGGTCTGTGCAAACTTTTGTGATTATCTGAACATTTGCAGGTTCATTTCCATAAATGTCCATAAATGACTGGACTACACAACTCTAGTCTAAAATCCCGAATAAAATTGCACAATCATATTGTCCCAATCTCTGTCCCATTTTCAGTTCTTGAAGATGAAATTTCCAGGACCGAAATTTTACAGTTTTGACTGATTTTTCATCCACAACCAATTAGTAAGTCAACTATAGATGCCACATCACACGATTGAGGTGCTGGAAGTTTAATTTCGGTCGGAGGAATCCAACAGCAGAAAGCTTAACAAAATGAAAAATTGTATTTTCAAAATCCTGTCCCATTTTCAAATATGACATTTTCTGAACATAAATTTGACAGTTTTGATGGACCTTTTGCCCATGAGTGACCAATTAGTCAGCTCACTGCTGTTTCCAAATGCCGCTCTAGTTTAGGCTTAGCTGCTGCCTGGTTTCTACTGCTATAATTGAGTACGTGTTCACGAAGCGTACCAAAAAGGATGCGATCCAATGTTCCTCAAGGGCTCAAGTATTGAGATCCTACCCAAGGCACGAGATCCGAACCATGGCAGGCCCTCCTAAAGCATCAGAATTCACGAGATCTGAGCCAAGGCTGGCCCTCAAACTGACCTGAAAATCTGATCTACAAAAATGTGGGTTCAGTTGTCGTATTTCGGTTTGGCCCCAAAGGTTTTGCTCTATTACGGGTAAACCTAGGATGCTGCAGATTCAACTCTGTACATTCAGACCGTCTGTGCGTGGTGAAGAGCCACATCCTGCTCGAGGTGGGGCTGCATGCAACTTCAGTGATGGAGTTGTAACTGAACACAGCGGATCTAGGGGTGCACCCCCGAAAAACAAGCCGGGCATCCTCAGAACAAGCCCGTGATGATGGTGATGTGGGTTAATCTAGATGTAACAGATTCCGGAACTATGGGAGCACCATCTGTCATCTTACCGTTTTATTTACTGTATGTGGGAACATCTACTGATGAAGTAGCTATCAAGAGAGCCATTCCAGTGGCGCAGGTGGCTCACGTGTCACATAGCCAACAGAAAAGAAACATGATGAATAGTTCTTACAGCACTAGGGTATCAGCCCCTACTTTTTTTTCTGGACGAGAAGGTGGTAATGATTTCACCAACTTAAATCCGAATGGAAGGTTGGTGAATGATGAGCCTAATCAACCTGAAACACCCAACAGCATAAACGAAAACAACAAAAAAAGTTTATTTTCATGTACCGACATTACCTGGGTAGGCACTCTTAACACTAGAACGATAAGAACTACCCAGAGGAAACTGGAGATGGTACATCTTTTCGAGAAGAGTGGCGCAGAGATTGTAGGTATCCAAGAGCACAGGATAGTTCATGAAGAGCCTGTCAGAGTAGAGAGAGTTGGCAAGAGCAGCTATCTAATTACTTCATCAGCTACTAGGAATAGGGCCCAGGCATCAGTGGGCGGAGTTTACTGGGCCGCGCTCAGCCTGTCATTCCGCCAAATCTTTATTCGGTTAATGAACATAATAGCCTGGGGTCCTCAGGTAAGGCGGAGTGGGATTCATCCTAACAAGCAAGGCATTTGATGCAACTACGGAGATAACACCAGTGACGGAGAGAATCCTTAAGATATCTCTCAATGGGAATCCTAAACCAACCTTCGTCTGTGTCTATGGACCTACGGAGGCAGATAGTGTAGAAGCAGCAGAAAAGTTTCATAACGATCTAAGGTGTGCAGTCTCGCAGATCCCTGCTCACAACTTCTTGGAGGTGATTGGGGATTTTAACGCTCACCTATCAAAGAGGGACGAGAATGACTGTGGTTAGTATTTCCATGAGAGAACCAACAGAAATGGGGAGCTGCTTCGGGATACTGCCCTGGAATGTAATCTGGAGATTACAAACACCAGGTTCAGAAAGAAGCGGGGTAAGATGTGGACTCACCTATCGGATGGAACCCTGAATAAGTCTCAGATAGACTTTATTCTAGTGAGGAAGAAGTGGAGGAACAGTATCAAAGACACTGAAGTCTACAGTTTCTTTAGTACATTGGGTACTGATCATAGATTTGTTTTGTCTAAGATCAAGCTATCTCTTCGACGAGCAAAAAAGCAACCCAAGAAAACCTGGTATAATTGGGGAGCACTAAAATCGGATGAAGACCTACAGAAGAGATATGCAGTAGAAGTCAAGAATCGGTACTCTGCTTTATGCGAGCAAACTGATGAAAGTGAGGTTACGGAACTGTATGGGCATTTTGTTGATGCGATTGCTGATACCAACAAAGCCATACTGCCTAAGAGAGAAAAGAAGAGACGTGACGATTTCGCGGGTGATCAGCGAGTTCAAAACGTGCGTACAGCGTTGCAGCAAGCAGAAACTGTCTATCACCGGGATCCTAGTGAAGACAGTCGACTCTCTGTTAACGTACTTAAAACTGAACTGGATCAGGTGTACCAGGACATCTTTGAAGAAGATCTAGTTGCCAAGGTTAAAAGGGTCGAAATGGCTGCAGACAGATGCAAAAATAAAGAAAGTTGGAATGTCATAAATGAGATTACTGGTAGGAAGGCCAAGGGGGCAACTCAAATAAGGGGCAACGGAGCCGAAGAGAGGAAGGAAAATTGGCTTAGGCATTTCACGAATCTTTTAGGGAGTACACCTGATGTGGAAAACGAACATCCTAGGATCGAGACTCAATTTGAAGGACTCAACATCAGTACAGAACCTTTTACTCTAGAGGAGCTCAAAGCTGCTAAACTCAGGATTAAAGAAGGTAAAGCACCAGGTGATGACGGTATACCACCTGAAGTCCTCAAAAGATGCGACCTGGATGAAATCGTGTTGTCCTTCTGCAACAAAGCCCTGACAGATGGTATTGCGCCAGATCAGTGGAGGATAAGCAACATCATTCCGGTCCCCAAAAAGGGAGACTTGACAAACCCTGGAAACTGGAGGGGGATATCTTTGACTTCAATTGTAGCAATGACTCTTAATAGAATGGTGCTTAATAGGATCCAGCCGGCCATAGAAGGGGTACTTAGGGACACTCAGAATGGTTTTCGGGAAGGACGGTCCACTACTAGTCATATCTTAGCACTCAGAAGGATACTAGAGGGGGCTAGACAGAGAAACCTACCGGCAGCTATGGTGTTTGTTGATTTTAAGAAGGCCTTTGATTCACTTCACCGGGGAATTTTGATGCAAATACTAAAGGCCTATGGGATACCAGACAGTATAGTATTGTGGATATCATTAATCTACTCTATGTAAACACAAAGGGCAAAGTTATTACACCTGATGGGGATACTGAGCTATTTGATATCCTGGCAGGAGTTCTTCAAGGGGATACGTTAGCACCATACTTGTTTATTATAGCCCTTGACTATTGCATGAGACAAGCCTTAAGCAAGCACCCTGAAATAGGATTTACCATTAAGCCTTATAGGAGTAGGAGAGTTAAGGCGGAGAAGATATCAGACACTGGTTTTGCAGATGACATTGCTCTGATAGCAGATACTGTAAAGGAGGCAGAGACGCTGATGCTAGAGGTAGAAAGGGTTGCTGCTACAGTGGGACTTAGAATGAATGAAGGGAAACCCAAATTCATTACTCAGAACATCGAGAACCCTGATACCATCAAGTCCCTGGGTAACAGTACAATAGAGCATGTGGAAGACTTCACTTATCTGGGTTCTAGAATCAGAGACAGTGAGAGTGATATCAGGGTTAGGAAAGGAAGAGCATGGGGAGCATGCCACACACTCAAAAAGCTTTGGAATTCTAAGCTTAGAAAGTCTATCAAGATCAGAGTGTTTACAGCACTAGTGGAGTCGGTGCTACTGTACGGTTCCGAGACTTGGACAATGACGAAAAGGCTAGAGAAGATGGTTGATGGTTGCTATACGCGAATGTTAAGAATGGCCCTTAACATCAACCAATATCGAGACCATGTCAGCAACCACAGCCTGTACGGTGATCTTCCCAAAGTCAGCTCCAAGATAACCCAACGAAGGCTCAGACTTGCAGGTCATGCTCACCGACATCCGGAGCTGACACTGAACAAACTGATCCTCTGGAAGCCGAGTCATGGGCATACTAACAGGGGGCGACCTCATTTAACACTACTAGATAACCTAAAAGCAGATACTGGGCTGAAGTCAGTAGATGAGATAGCTAGACTGATGGAGGACAGAAAGCTGTGGAGAACTGTTGTCAATGGATCTCGGGAATACCACCCGCCTTAAGTCAGTCAGTCAAGTCAAGTCAAGTAAGTCAGTAAGTCATTTCGGTGCAGTTGTAATATGACCTGTGTTCAATTGTCGTTTTGGGATTTACGCTGATTGGGCACCCAATTAAGCTGATTGGCTGCCTGTTAACTCTGTGCGAACTAGATTCAATTGGGTTTAGTTGTCAGTCACCCGTGCGGTGGGCCCAGAAAAGTCTTTGAAAGCTACACCCGGGGTCGGAAGTCTCAGGAATCAGTCAGATGACCAGATGGAGAGAAGATCCTGCATCTTGAAATATAGATTAGAGGATCTAGATTAGAGACATTTAACTGAGGTTAACCTAGATGTTTGTGTTGTAATTCCCTCGCACCGTCCTAAAATCCATTCAGTTGAAGAAAGGAAATATCTTTTACACTTAAAACACTCGAACACTATCAAAACTTTTACAAAATACACTCAACATCAAATCAATTACCAGCATCGAAATTATATTTATGTGCAACTTTCTCTAGTAGCAGATAATATGCAACAATAACAATACATGTATATAACATTACCGACCCTACCGGAACCGCAAATCCAATGTAGGGATTGGAAAAAATTTAGTTGTGATATAATAAATTAAACAAGAATACATCAGTATGATTGTATGGTAATTGGTGATAATTCTAAGAAAATGAATTGTATCCTAATTTTAAACGTTGGTTGAAAACTCAAGAAACTTAAAAGAAAAGTTCAGGCATTGATTAAAAATCTTTTTTTTCAAAATCATCAGCTCCCTAGTTTTCTTTGGCGTTAAGAATGGCGTCGTGAATTGCATTAGCCACATATTTGGCATTCTCCTGGGTAATTCCACACATGCTGATTCGCCCTGACTTCAGGAGGTATACATGGTGTTTCTCTATCAGCAACTCGCACTGCGCTTTAGTTAAACCTGTGGTATACATTTGTTAGCTAACTGTGTGGATATCTTAATGGAAATTTAAATTTAAAGCATATAGACTCCATGATTTTAATTAATTATAATTAATATACCTAATTAATTATAATTACCAGTGTAGGAGAACATTCCGTTCTGAGCGAGAATGTGGTCCCATGATCCAGGAGCGTTTGCTGTTTTCAGAGCAGTGTGTAGATAGGATCTGGATCTTCTTATCCTAAAGCAATGAACGTTACAGACCGGTGTGGTAAAAACACCCCATTTTGAGGTTTCTCGTATAATATCGGTCACCCTCTCCCATATAATACAATGTATATTACCCATATTATTATTTAAGATAATACATATCATTAGCACGAACCTGGCGTGCATTTCCTTAACACAATCCTCCCACTCAGCCCTCATGTCCCTGTTGTTCAGACACATGCTAGCAATACGAGCCCCGTGTGCAGGCGGGTTAGAGTAGATCGACCTCACAATTATTTTCATCTGAGAACAGTATTAGGTCCTTTAGTTTTAGAGAAGGTATATTTTAAAAGGACGCAGGGTTAGAGTCCTCAGTAGGATACAGTTGGTAGAATTGAGTGATAAGAGCCACGTACAGTTGTTAGAATTGAGTGATAAGAGCCACGTACAGCTGGTAGAATTGAGTGATAAGAGCCACGTACAGCTGGTAGAATTGAGTGATAAGAGCCACGTACAGTTGTTAGAATTGAGTGATAAGAGCCACGTACAGTTGTTAGAATTGAGTGATAAGAGCCACGTACAGTTGGTAGAATTGAGTGATAAGAGCCACGTACAGTTGGTAGAATTGAGTGATATGAGTTGCAGTAATCGACCGGGATTCCCGGCGCCGTGAAATCCCGGCACCGGGGGAGCTATTTCTTCCCGGCCCCGGCCGATTTTCAATTTTTGCCGGGAATTTGGCCGGGAATTTTTGATCGAAATCGGCCTAAAACTTTCATATAAATCTTAAAATGGATTTTCAATTTTAAAAGGATGATGTCCAGAGTGCCAACTTTGTCCTGAAAAGTTCTAACTTGGCCGTGGATTTATTAAATTCACGGCCCCGGCCCCGGCCAAATTCCAGAACGGCCAATTCCCGGCCCCGGCAAAATTTGGACATTCCCGGCCCCGGCCCCGGCCAAATCCTACCCCCGGTCGTTTACTGATGAGTTGCACACATGGTAGAAAATACACCAATAATATTACCTGGGACAGGCACTTATGAGAAATCTCCGCAGTTTGGCCCGCAAATATCATACATCCTATCCGCTCACAGTACAAACCCATGATCTTCGCGAAACTCTGACACACTATGAACTCGAACCCGAGATCGGCAAATAAGCGGATGCTAGCAGCATCCTGATCGAAACTTCCTGATGCGTATCCTGACAGATTTAGGAGAGTTATATTCTTGACTTAAGACTAAATCAGTATTAATTTGACAAATTGGGTCTATTGACTTATTAATTGTGTTGACTAATATGTGTACCTAGATAAGCCAAGTCAAAGAGAGGAAAATGACTCTTCTTCTTGCAAACTTCAGCAATCTTCAGCCATTGCTCCATCGTCGGATCGATCCCTGAAACAATCACATAGCTTAGGTAACCAATAACCATGGCAAGGTCCAAGTAGTATGAAATGATAGTTTCACCAATTGTTCAGTTAGCACACCATGTTCACTGTAATCTGGTCCCCTAAACTGAAACTTATGAGGACCAGGGAAGAAGCAGAAAACGGAGAGCACCAAAAAGGTGCTAAAAAGTACTAACTAACCGGTAGGATTGTGAGCACACTAAAAAGTACTAACTAACCGGTAGGATTGTGAGCACACTAAAAAGTACTAACTAACCGGTAGGATTGTGAGCACACTAAAAAGTACTAACTAACCGGTAGGATTGTGAGCACACTAAAAAGTACTAACTAACCGGTAGGATTGTGAGCACACTAAAAAGTACTAACTAACCGGTAGGATTGTGAGCACACTAAAAAGTACTAACTAACCGGTAGGATTGTGAGCACACTAAAAAGTACTAACTAACCGGTAGGATTGTGAGCACACTAAAAAGTACTAACTAACCGGTAGGATTGTGAGCACACGCGTGAAGCACCACCACACTACCGTCCTGAGCAGCCTCCAAGTCTCTGCACATACCCTCCAAGTCAAACCCCATAGTCTGAGAGGAACTTCGTTGAGGGACTTGAAAATGTTAGTAAGAGTAAGAATTTATATAAAACACCTGGTTTACAAGGTTGTCCTGTTCATTACAACTAGCTTTATTTTATATAGTAAGATTAGGACGGTATTATATGTATTATATGTACTAGCAGGAACCCGTCAAACCTTTAAGACTGGTGTCAAGGCTCTTTGGTGGCCGGATCAGTTTCCTACCCTAAAGTCTCCCAGTAAAAATAATTATTACCTATTTAATTCGCGTTTTTGACACCACTTGGGGGTCCAAATTTTGGGTACTAAAATTCTTATTCTTTGGCCGATTTTCGATTTTTTCATGCTGATTTGAAGGCCATTAAAGCATTTGAATCAGTTAAAAAAGTTTCAGTTTTATATCTTGTACGGTTTTTGCGGAAACCCGTGTTAAAGTTGATGCCGTGGTGTCAGTAAAATGGTGCGGATAAATAAATATATATATATATATTTTTTATTATGATTGGCTACTGGGACACGTCATACACACGGTTGGATTGTTAATTCGGTTGAAGTACCTTTACATCCATATATATATATATCGTCTCGCTTTATATATAGTAAGATATTAAGACCGTGATATTGGAACTGACCTCTGGATCGTAGTAAGCGTACTGCACAAAGTTGACTCCAGGTAATCTGTCGATCATGAGTTTGTGATTGCCCCAACTGGGATTACTGACCAGTATATCTTTACAACCCGGATAAAATTGGCTGATAAACTGAAATTTTACTAGAGTTTATAAAAACAGCGACTTAACACAAGGTACTCAATAAATCATTATATGGCCAGAATACGGATCATTAATAGTCACATTCACATATTATTGTAAAGGTAAGTAATATAAAGGTAGGTATTAACTTGTTATTAAACTTGTAGTTTGTAGTTGTTATACTGTTTATTTCAAGTACCTGGAAGGCCACATGAAGAGCTCCTGTTCCGGATAAGGTCTGAAGTGCTACAGCTCTGTCTTCGTTAACTAACCTACTATTCTCGCCTGAAACGAGGTGTAGTGACAGATCATTATAAGTAGCATATATATATAAGTTGTTTGATCGAAAACTGTAATCTTAGACTGACTAAACTTTAATCACAATTGACTGACGACGACATTTAAAATGGAGACGTTTCCATTCGGCAGAGTTGTGAGGTAACCTGCAAACTTAATAAAAAGGTGGGGGGGGGGGGGGGGGGGGCAGGGGATAGTTACAATAAATACATAAGATACTAACCAAGCACTAGTCGTGTAGCTGCATCAGTAAATGACTGCAGTCCACCCATACTGAGGTACTCCTTGTTCAATGTCTCGTCTGCAGCTAGCATGCTTTCTGCCTGAAACGGAAGCCTTAAAGTTTACTCATAAAACTTGTTCAAATGATAAAAAATATTAACCTTAAAAGAATGTAAGATCAGATAAGCTTCATTTCTAACAATTTCAGAAAACAGAAATCCCATGAGAACATGTGCATGGGTCCTTGGTTCAGTGCCACCCTCAGCCTCCTCCCATCCTCTAGTGTCTAGCAACCATCAACCGTTTACACCCCGACAATCTATCTTTTTCAATGTAAGATTTTTGAACTGGACGTAATAAATGGATTGAAGAAATAGACTTGAATATCTCTAATACAGACGACCTAATTAAACCACAATGCTAGGAATGAATGCAAGTCTCTCCTCCGTATCATTCTGTATCAACTAAAATTCATTCCATCTATTGTACTGAAATAATAGGCAGCATCTACCAGCATGTATTTTACAAATTATTAATTGAGCGGATTTATGCGTTCTGTACTGTGAAGTAGAACAAGGTAACCACACTAAACACCTCATATTATCGATTGTTCGTCTTCCTCTCTAGTGAGCCTCATGTTGAGGTAATTATCAGGCACAATATTATGTTCTATTTGAATACATTAATTATGTTTTTGTATTGTTCTTACAGTATGGTCGCCTTACAATTACAATATCATTCAGGGTTCCTTTTGTTTGAGTTTTGGGGACAGTTGAACTAATTATGCAACATTTGACATCCCTTTCAAGAAATTGGGTTAAATTAAGAGGTGCGAAGAATTAGCAAACTGTCCAATTTGTCAAGGAAACTGGGGAGTAACCAAACTGAAAATATACCCTCACATCTAGATCCTGCTTGTTGAGCTCTTAATTAATATTTTCCCGGACTCTCGCGACTACCATCAAGCCTGTACCAACAGTATGGATGAAAATCAATTTAGTACTATACAACTTTTGTATGCTCTGTGGTGGGTTAACCTAGTACAACACTGTATAGTGTGTTGTACAGGGGGGGGGGGGGGGGGGGGTAAAATGGCATAGATTTTTATAAATGGAAAAACTTGTTCATAAAATTGAAATTGTATGCCATTTACGACATGAATTTTGGTCATCGAATTATATATCTGACACTTAAATTGGACATCCTAACATGTTTATTTACGCATACCAAGTTACTCAAAGCTCAAATCAAGCTACTAGAAGCTCATACCAAGCTACTAGAGGCATAATCCGGTAGATTGTCGTATAATGCTAAATTAAGGTGAAATTTTTAGTAACTAGACTTCAAAAGTGTTCGTTATTTTGAAATGTTTTTACAGGATCGTAAAAATTGTTAATAATGATATTTATACTGTAGATGAATATTGAATTAAATTTATATCGTTCTTTAAGGCGGAAACTTCATAATTTGTTTTTCTAAAGTTTAAATTAAATTAAATTCGAAAATGGCATACATTTCTGAGGAGAAATTGGAAAACCCTTAGAGTAAATAGACATTTATGCCATTTTAGGTCATTGGCTCCCCCTTTTCCACCCCCTGTGTACACCATCCTACTTGTAGCGACAGAACATGCACCTCAATCCAAACTAGAGTTGACGCTTTATACTTTTCACTTGGTAAGCGCTACAAGCAAAATTTAGCGACTGTCTTTTACCCAGGTGATGCCCATATAAGGAGTGTTTTGTTTTCTTTCTTTCTTTTGTTTGTGCTAATTTTTTTCACACGGTGTGATGCCGTATAAGTTTATAATAAAGTTGCAGTTATTTTGAACGTATCATAATGCCAGAGCAGTTGTGTCTTGGCCGGAGGTTCTAGTAAAGATACTGTCACGTGACCCGCCGAACATATTACCGGTCTTAGACTCACTACCGGTTGCCTTGGTTACCAAGACGTTGCTATGGTTGCACGGAAGCACGTGAAGCGATCTAGCCAAAGTATTTGACTTTTTGCTAGACAATATTTTTATGAAATTTACGATTTATTTTCTTCAGTGAAAAGGTTTGTTAAGTTGTTCCGCTTGTAGTTTCCGGAGAAAAGCTAGTTCCAGAAATTTGCAGAGTTTACTTTGAGTCAGTTCTTGACTGGTTGAACTTCCCGACTAAAAGTTCCGGGGTTTAACGGAAGGTGAGTTTTTTAAATTTTGACTTTAAATTTATTTTCTTCCTTTTCTTTTCTCACTTTTCGGTGATTTTTGACTCAAGTAGCCGTCAATATTGGGGGGGGGGGGGGGGGGGGGGGGGGGGGGGGGGCAACCATATTAAAATATATTAAAATGTAGGATTTTTTCCGATTTTGACCCGGGGATATACTTTAATATACTTTAATATGGTTGCCCCCCCCCCCCCACCCAATATTTGTAAGACGAAATACTCAAGACCATTAAATTCACTATTTAACGGGGAAAAATTCCTGGATAACTAATTCTCACTTCCTCACAACTACAGGGTACCAGACGGCAGACACGAGATGGTTACCATGACGACTAAGTTCAGTCTTGATCACGTAGACGAGCTGGACGGGCCGGTGTTACTCTGGCAGTTCCTCCTCCGACTCCTCAACGACCCGACCTACTCATCTCTCATAACCTGGACTGGTAAATACATGGAGTTTAAACTGTTGGACCCGGAGAAAGTGGCAAAACAATGGGGTATCCACAAGAAGAAACCACACATGAATTACGACAAGCTGAGCAGGGCCCTGAGGTACTACTACGATAAGAATATAATGAAGAAGGTGGCAGGGCAGAGGTACGTGTACCAGTTTGTGTCCAACTCAGTGGGCCCCCTGTCGGCCCTTGCAGACCACCAGCCTCGCTCAGAGTTCAACAAACCCTCCTCCATGATGAGTTCTCTGGCAGCACTAACCGAGCTGAGGGCCCTCCAGATGAGCCACTCGGTCGAGTCTCACGACCACACCACAAGCTTTGATACTGCCATCTTGCCAAAACAAGAGTTTAGTATAACCAGACTGGAGCCAGTATCAGAGAATGATCTGGCTATGAACTATGTGAACTCTCAGTCCCTACAGCTGGCTGATGATCTGTTTTTCCAGTACAGAACCAGGAGATCGAGCTCGGTATGTTCCTACCCCTCTTCTGAGAGCAACTCTTTAACCAGAAGATCTAGCTCTGAGAGCAACTCTCTCTACGAGCTAGAAGCTGGAAATGACTATGATGTATACTCCAGCTCCAGGTCCAACTCAATAGATAGTGGTACTGAAGCTTACCCCATGATAGAAACATTTCAAGACTTTGGTATTAGGTCCAATGTAGCTGATCAAGTGGATGCTTATAACCAGCACTGTAACAGAAGACTGTCCCAAACTTCCAGTATATCCAGTAGTCCACCGGTACTGGACAGGTGTCAGGACCTGTTTAATAGAACTCACCCCTCACTAAACATTCCCACGGAGGCTCTCTCCCATCATGATTACCTGTATCAGTCACCTTGCACCATAGCAAGCCTATCAGCATCAGACCAGAACCCTCAGAAGCAGTCGTCACCACAGAGGCAGAGTAACAGCCGTGAGACTAACCAGAAATACCAGAGTAACCTCGTCCCTCAAACTCCTCCCACAGTCCACCTCGATCAGATTTTAATAAAGACAGAGCCAGGACTTACAGAAGAGAGCTGTGAGAGCGGGTACAGAGACTCGTGTCCTACAAAGCTGGAGGTTGAGTGGAGCAAGAGGGACGAGTTAGACCTCTATATTAAGGAGGAGATGACGGAATGGGACGATCTGCCCACGTGCAAGGAAAACTTGAAGTATACTCTGAGGTATACTGAGGGATTACCTGAGCTCTTACCCCTGCTTCAAGCTAATCCACTCAGCTAATAGACTACAAGTTATCAAGTATGGTTGCTCTGATAGGATATTCGTAAATGGTATATCCACCTTATTCCAGTATATTCATGACTTCTTATTCGATGTTTTTGTTTTGATTCGCCATTATTATGGTTACATTGCGCATTGTATTTGCTCGTTTTAGAAGCAACACCGGTTCTTTTGCGATAGTCAAAACGCGACAACTAGCGCTGGATGGCGACAACTAGCGCTATCCAGCGCTAGTTGTCGCCATCCAGCGCTAGTTGTCGCTATCCAGCGCTGGATAACGCTGGCCAGCGCAAAACTATATATGTTCGATAATTGTCGCTATCCAGCGCTAGTTGTCGCTATCCAGCGCTAGTTGTCGCTGGCTATGCGACACTGTCGCACGCGATAGTTTGCGATGGCGCAACTGGCCATCGCAAAAACAGTTCGATAACTAGCGCTGGATAGCGACAACTAGCGCTGGATAGCGACAACTAGCGCTGGCCAGCGCTGGCCATCGATATCCAGCACAAAATTTTTGCGCTATTACTCGTCAGCTAGCGCTGGCCAGCGCTAGCCAGCGCTAGCCAGCGCTAACCAGCGCTAGTCAGGCTAACCATCGCTAACCAGCGCTAGCCAGCGCTAGCCAGCGCTGGCCAGCGCTAGCTGACGAGTAATATCGCAACTATATTGCGCTGGCCAGCGCTGGCTGACGAGTAATACTAATATCGAGCGTGCGAAATCACTCTACAGTCGATCTTCGAGATTGTTCTAAAAGGGCCCCCGATGGTTGTAACCAACTTCAATCGATGTATTTTCGGACGCTAATTCCGAATCAACCCCCATGGGCCCATGACATATGGTTAAAATGCTCTCCTGACGAGATATTGGCGAAAAACTGTACATGTATCGATCACGTGATATGACCGTATAAGGAAGTTAGTCTAATTTCTCGTTATTATTAGGGTTTCAGCATATGTTTTTGTTAAGGATTGGGTTAGGGTTAGGACCAGATTAGAGGGTTAAGGTTTCGAAAAGTCGTTCAGAACCAGCTAGAGTCAGAGAATGGGTTAAAAAAGTCACGTGACAGTCGAGTGTAAAGTGATTAATCATCATCCGACTAATATCGCAAGTATATGATTTTGATACATTGCGCTGGCTAGCGATGGTTAGCGCTGGCTAGCGCTGGCTGACGAGTAATAGCGCAAAAATTTTGCGCTGGATATCGATGGCCAGCGCTGGCTATCGCTTAGCGCTGGCCAGCGCTAGTTGTCGCTATCCAGCGCTAGTTGTCGCTATCCAGCGCTAGTTATCGAACTGTTTTTGCGATGGCCAGTTGCGCCATCGCAAACTATCGCGTGCGACAGTGTCGCATAGCCAGCGACAACTAGCGCTGGATAGCGACAACTAGCGCTGGATGGCGACAACTAGCGCTGGACAGGGACAAAAGGAAATCGCGGCATGTACGGAATCGCGATTTTTCCCATTATTTGCGACAAATTGTAGTTTAATGTATAGTCTGTTAAAAATCGCGGTATCGCGAATTTTGGCCAAAATAATCGCGAAATCCTTTTGTCCCTGGCGCTGGATGGCGACAACTTGCGCTGGATAGCGACAATTATCGAACATATATATTTTGCGCTGGCCAGCGTTATCCAGCGCTGGATAGCGACAACTAGCGCTGGATGGCGACAACTAGCGCTGGATAGCGCTAGTTGTCGCCATCCAGCGCTAGTTGTCGCGTTTTGACTATCGCAAAAGAACCGCAACACCTGACAAAATACATAACCCTGAGCTTGTCGGAATGATAAGCTAGTAAGTAAATAAATTTCTAACAGCAGATTTATTTAAAGATAAGTTTTCATGCTGTAAGTAAAAAAGTAATTTATTTTTAGAAAATTATCTGATATATCTGATAATTCAAATTTGTACCCAAGAAATTTAAATAATTTTGTTTTTGTGATATAATAACTTTATTTTGATTTGAACAAATCTTGGAGTTGAGCGAGGTGTTATGTTATACTTATATTGTCCTCCCCCGGCTCCCCCTAACTATAGTACATACGGTTTGGAAATAAATAGCTAAAGAAATAAAAACTGCCCCTTCCCCAAAGATAGTATTTATTGCCACTAAAGTAGCACTTCTTACCTTTTTAACAACAGGAAGGACCCAAGGTTTCCCAGCTTCATTACGGTATGCTCCTACAGTCAGCTTCACCTGTAACAGATTTTTATTCAGGTGCTTACAGGTTACATCTCAAAATATTGAATCATGAATAATACACCTAGGCCTAGGGGCCATCTACTTAGGACATCCGCCAAAATCGCAGATTTTCAGACCGCCACCTCCCCCTGTCTGGGTACGGTGTCCGAATTTTCAAAACCACCCCTTCCCCCGGACGTCCGGATTTTCAGCTACATTTAAGAGTACAAATAAAACCAACTCAAATTCATTGTTAATAAAATGTGTAAATAGTTACTTAAAATAGACAATAATACATTTAGTGTCGAACAAGTTTAGCACAGTTACATTTAAGTACATTTAAGTACTCGTTCAAAATACAGGGATCTAAACTAACAGAGCAATTAGTGTCAAAGAGTTGAAATAAATGGGACTTTTTCGTTAATTCTTCCAAAATTTCCGGACGTCCGGATTTTCAGAAACCGCCCCCACCCCCCTCTCCCTGTCCGGATTTTTCCGAAATTCCAAAGCCACCCCCATCCCTATTTGCAGGACGTCCCAAGTAGATGGCCCCCTAACCAATGACTAGCCCGGCCCCTGTACAGTGTACATAGACACTTCAATTTTTAAATGGTCTTCGAAGATTAAAAAATGAATAGATAAGGATGTGAGATAGTGAAGTAGTATAAGTGAGGTAGCAATGCTCACCTTTTCAGGATGAGGATCAGCGTCATGTCTAGCAGAGAGGGCAAATACAGCAGGAAGGTCAACATAGTTTACCTCTGAGAAGGCGGACATCTTCCTAATGGGGGGTTATGGGTTATATTAGTCATAATTAGTGGGGGGTTATGGGTTATATTAGTCATAATTAGTGGAGGGTTATGGGTTATATTGGTCATAATTAGTGGGGGTTATGGGTTATATTAGTCATAATTAGTGGGGGGTTATGGGTTATATTAGTCATAATTAGTGGGGGGTTATGGGTTATATTAGTCATAATTAGTGGAGGGTTATGGGTTATATTGGTCATAATTAGTGGGGGTTGTGGGTTATATTAGTCATAATTAGTGGGGGGTTATGGGTTATATTAGTCATAATTAGTGGGGGGTTATGGGTTATATTGGTGACCATAATTAGTGGAGGGTTATGGGTTATATTAGACATAACAGGGAGGAAAAAAGGATCGGACAGTCGATTGCACTTAAAGTCGCACTGTAGGCAGATATATGATTACAGCATAGTGTAACCAGCTCGGTCTAACAGATTGCTTTTAGGAAGTGACCGTGAAATTAAACTCCCAAGTTTCTCAAACATTCTAGATCAAATAAAACAAAGAACAGTAGATTTCAGACAAATAAAAGATACAAGTAATAATTACAGATTTAAGAATGATAAGATATAAAACCCCCATTTTGATTTGAGGCAAACTTTAAGAACAGTCTCCCTTTACCCGATACCAGCGTGTGCTCCGGTATCATGTGTTATGCACGTGCAAATCACGTGGCGCGCACTGTGCGATATCAACATGTGACTCATATGAAATAAGGAGATAAGGACGTTTAGATTTCATGTACTAACACATTCCTGCTGCTCTTAAATAACTTAAGTAAAACATTGACTTTTGCATCATCTTGACAGTGACGGAACATTTAATTAAACGTAATTCGACAAACTACTATCTAATTCGCAGCATCGCTTGTAGTTGAGCAAATTTCTAAAACATTGTCGATTAAATTGGTTTGATGAACAGATGTCTTACAATAGCACTCAAAGCACTTTGTTTCAGAATTACAGATGAGCTCCTGTCATTTCCAGTACCCCATGTGAGCTCTTCACTTCATACGAACATCGGTAAACCATCTAATATAAACCTATCCAACGTTAATGTTAACCATTAATACTTTACTAAAACTACTGAATAATGAGGACTTACTAGCACTAATTAGTGCTAGTAAGTGCTAAATGAGCACTAACTACATATTATTCTGCATTACGATTAACAGCTAAACATAAGTAAAAACAACTGTAACCATGGTAACTGTAATCATGGTAAATGTAACCATGGTAACTGTAACCATGGTAACTGTAACCATGGTAACTGTAACAATGGTAACTGTAACCATGGAAACTGTAACCATGGTAACTGTAACCATGGTAACGGTCTATGTAAAACACTAAAAAGTCAGCGAAATTCAAAACCCCGTAAAAGTTGAACAAGAGGGCTACATTCTAAAATAATTACATTGAAATGTAATCTCATCGTTTAAATTACTCGATGCAGCTTGTAGTCAAGATTCACTACTAGTATTTACATAAAGTAATGCGTTTTAAACGGAGGAAATCAAGATTCATATCATATTATAGTCATTTCAAACGTAAACAGCAGAACATAAAACTTTTTATACAAGGAAATTTGCGATAAATGTTGAAGTACACAGGTGTACAGGTACCTTCTTTAACTCTCTTCAACTTCTCTCTGGAAGATAACTGGTCACGTGACTGATCACCACATGTCAAACAGCTCAGCTATCCCCTCCGTATCGTCAAGTCCGCACAGAAAGTCCAGGTTGAGGTCCGGACTGGCTGGCAGCCCAAAAGACAGTTTCCTCTTGAAGGGAGACTTGTAGGGTGAGGACCTGTAGGGCGACCCAAAGGGGGACTTTAGAGCACAAGTTGGGGAGGGGAAATCTAGAGACTGACGAGCTAGTTTGACGGGGGTTTTCAGGGGGGTTTTCTTGGGGGTCATGGAGAGGGATTTCTTTTGGGGGGAGGAGAAGAGAGAGGAGTGAGAAGGAGCGGCTGATTGGAGAGAAGGGGCGGGGAAGGAGGAGGTAAAGGAAGAGGAGGGGCCCGCTGTGTCGGGAGGTTCTGACGGGGGCTCTGTCTTGATGGTGGTGTCCGCCTCTTCTGGGTCTTTGGGGAACACTGGGAACACGTCAAATGGTATACCCTCGCTACTCACTTTTATCCTGATCTCCTGGAAAATACAGTGAATATTAGTGAACACCACCTCATATACACAGTACACTAAGTATACACTAAGTATATACTTAGTAGTAAGTATGTTACATACACAGCACATATTGTGCACTAAGATAACATAATTGAGAAATGCCGTAATAATAGTATATTTATGATAAATGTATAGTAATAATAATAAGCTATAAAATAAGCTTACCGAGTCGGTTCCCTCAGGATCTAGGAACTCTAACTTAGCCTGACTGGGAGCAGGAACCGCCACGAGAATCTGACCCCAGAACTCTTCTATACCCTCCAAGTCATCGTTAACCACGTATGTTTTCCTGTGGGATGTTCCTTCTTAATATTTGGGTTATAACCGGGGTTAATATTGGGGTTGCACACGACCCCAGGCCACATGGTTAACGATTTCAAGCAACGTCACAAAGTGACCTAGTAGCTATAGTAGTAGTACTTAGTAGTAACTACATATAGTAACTAGTTACTAGAGACATACTCCAGAAACTAAACCAAGCTAGGACACCAATAATCCTGGAAACGGTAAAATATACAAAATATAAACTGAAAGCACTTATTAGTTTGGCAAATGATCAGTAGACACCAACTGATAAACGAACGAGAAGCACAGGGTTAATTTTCCCACTCCCCACAATAACGATGGTATTATGCAGAGATGGCAGCATGTGTTATGTAGAGATGGCAAACAAGGAATATATTGGGAATAAGGAACGGGGGTATTATGTTTCGCGTGTTCTGTACGGTTATCAGATCTTCGTGCATAGCAGGTAATAAGAACAATAATAAGAACAATTTCATTATTCTTTAATCTTGTGTATTATATTATAATATGTATACTCATAATAGTAAAGGTTTACTATCACGTAATATTATGTACTGTTTTGAGTTTCTATGAGGTTATATGCGGTTAATTTTAATGACTAAGTAAATAAGCTTTACTTTTTACTTGTCACCTTATACTCTGTTATCAAGTATACCAATATTATCTGCCGTGTGAGGTCACGTAGCGTTGACAATCTACATTGAACCAAGCTTGTTGTATTTTGAACACAATTGTGACAGCCTGCAGCCAGCATGATGTTTCTGTTGTTAAGTTTGTTACTAACGGTCGGAGAGGCTAATTTTAATATTCTACCGGTTGTCCCCTTCCCTCAAGTGAGTAGTGATCATTTAACAAATTTTACATGTTTAACATCACGTTCATCTATTGTTGTTTCTGCCAGTAGAAAAAGTTTTTAAAACGATAGTTGATACAAATGTGAAATGATGTCAGCAGGCTGAGTCAAGAGCTAGTTTGTTGATCATCCAAGCAGGACGAGTCGAGTTGTCTGACCTCCTAATTGAATTAATTAGTAATTAATTAGCAATTCCTTCGCAGGAAGCGGAGATGATCTCCACGGTAAGGAGAAGTCTTCATGTGGAGGAGTTTAAGATAACTACAGATAAGCTACGAGAAGACAAGGTTATCTCCTCGACCATCTCTAGATACGAGCGGTACTTTGAGAGGTTAGCATTTCACAAACTGGACATTTTAGAGAGCTTGGGTAACTAGGGTAACTAGGGTAACCACTAACCAGGGTAACTAGGGTAACGAGGGTAACTAGGGTATCCACTAACCAGGGTAACTAGGGTAACTAGGGTAACCATGGTAACCACTAACCAGGGTAACTTGCAGGTTTGAACGTGGTCCAGCCTCCCCGGACGGTTATGTCACAGAGGTAAGCGTTACAGTGGCGGACCCCACAGCTCAACTAAAGATAGGAGTAGACGAGAGTTACACCCTCAACATCAACCCTCTGTCTCCAGTGGTGAAACTAGCAGCCAAGACAAGGTTCGGAGTGGTGCGGGGCCTGGAAACGTTCTACCAGCTCTACAACATCACTGACGGCACCTTCCCTTCTGTTAAGATTAAGGACTATCCCAGGTTCACTTACCGAGGGTTCCTAATAGACACATCTCGTCATTTTCTGCCAGTAGATACAATTGAGAAGGTGATAACAGGTCTAGCCATGTCCAAGTTTAACGTGCTCCACTGGCACATAGTTGACGATCCCTCCTTCCCCTACTATAGTCCCACCTTCCCTTCCCTGGCTGAGAAGGGAGCGTATGACATGAACCACGTGTACAGAATCTCTGATATTCTGCAGGTGATAAGTTATGCGGAGGATCACGGTATTGTGGTGGTCCCTGAGTTTGATACCCCCGGACACACCTTATCCTGGGGTAAAGGACTGGAGAACTTCCTGACTCATTGTCCGGGTGTGGGCACGTTTGGTGGAGACTACGGACCCATCAACCCATCTGTGGAGGCCAACTACCAGGTCCTACAGAAACTGCTTGCGGAGGTCACCTCACTGTTCCCTAGTGGTTTTATACATCTCGGAGGAGACGAAGTACCGTTCAATTGTTGGGCTGCTAACCAGGAGCTGGTAGCGTGGATGAAGAAGCAGGGGATCCAGAACTTTAACGACCTGGAGAGCTACTACGAGGAGAGATTGCTGGATATAGTCCACCACTTAAACACCAGCTACGTGGTCTGGGAGGAGATATTCAATAACAACCTACAGATACAGCCCGACACTATAATCCACGTCTGGAAGGATAAGTGGCAGGCGACTATGGGTAAAGTTATCAAAGCAGGCTACAAAACCATCCTCTCCAGCCCCTGGTACCTCAACTACATCTCCTTTAGTCGGGACTGGAAGACATACTACCAAGTAGAACCTCTCAAAATCCCCGGAGCCACTGCAGAGGAGCTGAATCTGGTGATTGGAGGGGAGGCGTGTATGTGGGGAGAGTATGTGGATGCCACTAATATTCTCTCCAGGACATTCCCTCGAGCATCAGCTGTAGCAGAGAGGCTCTGGAGCAGTGAGAAGAGGACCAATGTTGCAGATATGGAGTTTAGACTGGATAAGCATAGGTGTGGGATGTGCGCTAGAGATATACCTGCTGAGACGATTATATTGAGGAGTTACTGTCCTGTTGAGTTTAGTGGGTATGATCACTGGTAGGAGTACCACGTAATGTCCATAAAAGGTATCACTGTTAGGAGTACCACGTGATACCCATATAAGGTAATATGGAGTTCTGAGATATATGTAAATCCACATTCCACATGTAATTTCAATAGTTATCATTATTGATTGTGTTTGTTATAAAACTATGACTTTTCACTGAAAAATGTGTAGTGACTCAAAAGGAGCTTACTTACAAAGTTCCACAACAAAACACTGTCCGTCTTCCCATCATAAACTGTACTTTTATAATTCAATCTTTCTTTCACTACTATTAATTGTGTTAATGTTTACTTTACTGAAGCAGCCTTTTAAATAAGGAATTATTCTAAAAGAGACCTTGAACTTGCACACCTTGCAGCATCCGATCTTGAATCAGATCCGTCTACCAAATCAAGCAAATTGACAAGCATGTTCTAAAAAAGATATAAAACAACTAAAATGCTGCCCCCCCCCCCCCTACAATACTGAAACTTACGGGTGGTTCTCCTTGCAGTTGTCTGATGCTATGAGATTCAGCTCCTGAACTAGGGCTCCTATTATTTGCTTGTCTAAATGCTGCTCCTGAAAATACGTACTGTATAAGCTCTAACTTTTTACTGGGTGTTTATAGTACTTTGTTTATAGTGCGAATATTTATACACATGTATAGTATACATGTGTATATAACATGAGTATCTGATTATTGCATTATTACATTATGATTACAGAAAATTGCTACGAGAATTGAAAAAAATGTACACGTTAGAGTAGAAAAGATTGGAATGAATAGAAAAGACTAGAATGAAATGAATTATTTATATAACTATAAATACAAGTTAGGAGAACAGGTGGTAGCCATTCAGAAGATTAAACAAGATTCCACAAAGTTCTATAATCTATAACAGTAGTGCAATTATCAAATTAGAAGCTCTCAATTGGATCCTCTTCAAGTTCAGTATGTGCAGGACGTATTTGATTTACGCATCATGTATAATAGTGTATACACTATACAATACACTTTACGCTATGATATAATATGTATATTGTATATTGTACAGTGTAAAATGATGAATCACTGTAGTCAGTCTCTGCTACGTTAGTCTGGTATAACAACAGTATAGCTACCTGCAATTGTAAGGAGTATATTTCGGATTGGAGGAGGGTTACTTTCTTCTGTTTCTCTTTCTCAGCTATACTGTCAGGGTCCGTATCTTGCTCTGTGTTCTCCCTGAAAGTGAAAGTGAAGGTAAAGTAAATACACAGTACTTGTCATAACAAAGAGACAATTTAAAAACACTCCCTTGGTTAGCAAGCTAGTTGGCAGTCTGTCCTGCACTTCTACAAGATCACGTGATAAGCTTGTTATCTATGATAAGCTTGTTATCTAAGCACGTGACAGGTATTTTAAAATGCCAGACCAAAGTTCGTCTCACATCTTACGTAGTCTTGCAGCTAAACAATTAATGTTCAGAAGCATTATGTAGAGCCAGAGAACTAGTTGTTTCCATCACTGTTTCAATTTTAAAACATGTTTTCTTAAAATGTCGGGAAAATATAAATTGCTCGAATGGAGAAATTAAATAAATACAACCTGAAAAAAAAACCCCTCGCATAAACCTACCTCCATTTAATAAGATTTTTAGTAGTTTTCTCAATCAGGCCCACTCCCTCCAGCACATTCGTAATGTCGTATATGCGCCGTTTAGCTACACCTAGCTTGGAGCACGCGTAGTTGAGATCTAGCGAGCTGTCTCGAGAACTAGCCAGTAGCTGACAGAACCTGAAACAGTAAGTTATTAGGTCTCAAGTTAGAGGTCTCAGGTAGTAGGTCTCAAGTGGAGAACACAAGTTGTGGGATTTAAGTAGGGTGATTAACTGATAATTACTGATAATTAGTTAGTACACGGAACATAGCGCAGTGCAATGTAGCACTGAGAATTAGTGTGATAGAACAGACAGACTTTTGAACAACTGTCAGACACAATACAAGGTACAAATTACAGAGGACTTGTATTCAATGTAATATTTAGTTCTAATCCCAAAATATTCTCCCAGAGTCATCACACTCCTACAGCTCATATCTCCATAGTAACTGGTAGAGTATAATACACAACTGCTACATGGAGGTATCCACTATCTCCATAGTAACTGGTAGAGTATAATACACAACTGCTACATGGAGGTATCTACTATCTCCATAGTAACTGGTAGAGTATAATACACAACTGCTACATGGAGGTATCCACTATCTCCATAGTAACTGGTAGAGTATAATACACAACTGCTACATGGAGGTATCCACTATCTCCATAGTAACTGGTAGAGTATAATACACAACTGCTACATGGAGGTATCCACTATCCTCCATAGTAACTGGTAGAGTATAATACACAACTGCTACATGGAGGTATCTACTATCCTCCATAGTAACTGGTAGAGTATAATACACAACTGCTACATGGAGGTATCCACTATCTCCATAGTAACTGGTAGAGTATAATACACAACTGCTACATGGAGGTATCTACTATCCTCCAGGGATCTATTATACAACAATTAAAGTGGTTTGTTAGTCACAGTACGTGGATGTGTTTCCCAAATGTGAGAGTAGTTATTCCACACGTGAGTCTCACCTACAAGGGATAATGAGCTATACACTTGTGAAGGTGATACCGTCGTTGTCATGGGAGCAACAATTCAAATTTGAAAATGTACGCAGTTTTCATCCCTAGTCCCTAAACTCCTTACACCCCAGTTTTTACCGTGCACACTGCACCCACTATATAATAGGTTCGTATTAGAAAACACTATAGCTAAGCACTTGTGTAAAAGTGTATTTCTTGCAGAAAAGTGTAATTCTTGCAGTAGTGTATTAATTCTACAGCAGATAAGAATACTGTCGATAAAAAGCACTGAGCCAGGTTCTAGAATGACCTCATTTGTTTTCATTGCAAGCCGGGAATATGATAGCCTCATCGCTGAAATAATAACATTAGTCGGTGAGGTCACCAGATGATCCGTGGAAGAGGCGTAATGGTCTGCCTTTAGTAAAGTGACTAATAAAAGAAAACCAGCTCTGCATATTTGCGTCCAATCGCACTAGGTAGACCACTTAAATGAGGGCCCTGTGGAGGCGCACGGCAGGCCTGCACAATGTTGATCAACCGATGGCACTGGCAACAACTAATCAGCGCCCAGCCAGCGCCCACGTGGTGTTTATCCGGGTAGCAACAAGTAGCATGTGGACAGCACGTGACTCATCCTGCTCGCGCACGTGACACGACGCGTTAGTCACGTGACACAGGGCTTATAACTTGCTCGGTGTGTGAGACCAGCTTATTCGTTGCTGTGTTTTATACTTTCTCCACGTAAAGTAGCAACGAGCCTCGGCCCCCCGACATGGTGTTTGGATGGCATGAGGTCCTGTCGTGGGACAAAATAAAATACTTCGCAAGCTTACTTGACTTCTTCGTTTAAGCATTGAGCGGCACGGCTAGTCCAGTAGACCTGTCTGCTGGATGTCGCGTGTTATGTGTCGCTTTCTGTTTCCGATTGGGCTCTAACTAGGCCGGCTGTCCGAGTACAGCTGGTTCTAGTTAGAACCCTGCTCTTTGGCCTCCCCTCCCGGTATCAGCCGCGCTCTCTGCTACAAAAAGGCAGCTAGCGGTCGGGAGGGGCCGGCCAGGGGCACCAGAGCACGTGTTCTCGGAGTGCTCTGTTCCAGGGGAGTGTATTTCAGTTGTCATGGTGACGTCATCATAACACTCTGTGTCGTGGTCACGTTGCTATGACAACTGAGGACATTCTCCTGGCAACCGAGCATGTCAAGAACCAGGTCAGACCTCCACGGGGTCGTGCTTGGGACACGCTTCCACTCCAACTATATCCAACATCTTGCTGGAATTGTGCCACGAATCTGATCCAAGTTGTTGAAGCTTGAGACGAAGATCCTACACATTCCGAGAGGAGTTGTCTGATATAGGAGGAGGGAAGTAGGCTAACCAGACCTGTGAAGATGTCAAGTGAACTCTGCGAAGTAATTTTATTTTCCTCACGGCAGAACCTCGTCCACACTCCACACACAACAAACAAAATACCCGTTATAGAATAGTAGAGCAAGGTAAGGTTCAGTGTACTAGAAGACTTTGTTTCTATAGCTCATTTCATGCTATGGAAATGCTGTTTTTTAAGGACAACGGAAATTGCACAGCCCTATGTAGATATTATTATGATGGGTGGGGGCCAACTTTTGGCAGTTGTAACCTTCAAATGAGATTGTATAAAACACAGCTGATGAGTTCAAAAGAAATAAAAACAAAAGAAACATTAACACACCATAGATGCTGGACGCTGGTTTTATAGCACGTGTGCTAATCTGTGCGCTACATCCGTAACAACTTCAGAAACAGAGCACCCCTCCCTGTGGTCTTACGCTCGCACAGACTACCTTACGAGACATATCTATATTCGACATAATTCTGGTGACCTAAATGATTTGGGAACGAAAATATGGGATTTTTTGCCGAAAACCACCGCATTTCGTACCCCAAATTAAATTATGATATTTGGGGATTTTTTTCATTTCTTTATTTTACAAAAATAAAACCCAATATTTGAGAAAATCAATAAAGCCGTAGTACATACATAATACATTACACTGGATCGAGCTTACACAGTGTAATTTCCTCCAGTCTGCGCCGCGCGCCTATATAAACGTACGCGGCGCAGACTGGAGGAAATTACACTAAGTAAGCTCCAGTGTAATGAAATATGTATGTATTATATTATTATTATATAAAATATTATATAAAATATAATATGAAATTTGAAAAATTACAAGTCAATTTCTTCTTAATCTTCTGGTTCAGGGACTTTTCTCTCCAGTGTAGTCCCAGTGTAGGCACCTCTAACAAGCTGTTTCATCTTATAAACAGTTTCTCCGGCGCCTTTGAAAGTTAGTTTTAACTTGACTTCCAATCCTCCAGACGGAATGGGAGACCGCCGGTGTTTGTTATCCTCCACCGATCCCGAAATTTCACCGCCGTGGCAAATGAAATAGTAGCAGAGCTTGCTGACTTCTAATGGAACGTGTCCAACCGTCATGAATCATATTTATAACTTATATTGATAGTATGTAAGTAAGAAAATACGTGAAAAATGATTTGGGGAAAATAATGACGGTGACCTAAATTTTGGTAGTCCGAAACTATGGTGTTTTTTCGAAAAATCACCGACTTTCGTACCTTTTAAATATGTCTCGTAAGGTATGTAAAACCCGTGGAGTTTGGGGGAAAGGTAAAAGGCGCGGTAAATCAGGGTTTTTATCGTTTACATTTACAGGCTTATTCCAAATTTGAAGGAAGGAAATGGCAGCGGTAAATCGGGGTATTACTGTACAAAACAGAAGCAAGAGTACAGAACAATTATCTGTACGCACTAAATCTAATCGACTATGTATTTTTCTACTATACCTGTACCTTGTACAATGTTGGTTTATACAGTTCAAAAGCTGGTCAGGGTATGGGATGAGGGGGTGGGGGATCGTTCACATACTAAATAATCTCAATCTATATGACAGGGAATAATTATAAGATTCATTTATTACACCTCGATGCATTCAAAGCATGTCTTGGGAGCGTAGACGTGTACTCTGATGTTATTAGTCAGTCACACTATTTTACTTTAGATATCGTACATTTCGACCTCATGTAACATATTACTCCTTGTGACGCAGCGTGAAGTCGCTGCTTGTATATACTAGAAAATAAATGCTCCAAAATTGATAAGATAATGTTTCTTCAAATTTTATAAATTATTTAAAAATAAATGTACTTAAGAAGTTACAGGTATTTCAAGCCGTAAATCGGCTATTTTTGGCCCTTCTTTCACACATTAAAAATACAATTCTCAAAAATCCGGCTGCAAAAATTTGTCTACTACTTTCAGCTACAATCACAAGAATTTGTGAAACGATATCTCAAGAACTGTATGATTAGTAGCATTTTGATTTACAATTTTGTCGGGCAACAAATTTAAATTATTCTTCACACAGCTTTAATCGGCTTGTAACTAAGTCATCTCTTGTTGGAGAGCTTCTCGTAAAAATGATCGTGGAGGTTCGGTAACATTAAAATCTACCCTAAAAATGGTTCAAAATTGGGTATTACAGTAATATTACAGAATTAACCCAATTGGAAAGAACGTCTTGAAAACAAAAAGCGAATTCTTCCGAAGATGCGTACTTTTATAAAAAATTTGTGAAGTGCCAAAACATATTGCCTTAAATCTAGTATATTTTCCGAATATGAAGCTATATCCCCGACCAAATCAAAAACGGTTTTGGTGTATGTCTCCGCTGGGTGGTTTGAATCTGTTTAATTGCATCAAAAAGACTATTATTTTCAAAGCAGGAATAACAGATTGTAGTATTCCTAACCTAGATATTATATATATCTAGGTTTATATTAAACATCACCCCCAACTCCAAAGAAAACATGGGTTATTTTCAGGAGCAAAAACGTGGACATGTCACGTACCTTTTAAACCGTACAATATTTATTTTCCGATCCAGCAATGTAACATTACAGGAGGAATGTTACATCTCTCTCTCTCTCTCTCTCTCTCTCTCTCTCTCTCTCTCTCTCTCTCTCTCTCTCTCTCTCTCTCTCTCTCTCTCTCTCTCTCTCTCTCTCTCTCTCTCTCCCTCCCTCCCTCCCTCCCTCCCTCCCTCCCTCCCTCCCTCCCTCCCTCCCTCCCTCCCTCCCTCCCTCCCTCCCTCCC